ACAAGGCAAAGGGAGTGCGGTCGACATGGAAGGTCCGGCATACAGGATGGAAGTTGGACGTCCCATGCGTGATTTGCAGTGCTGGGATCAAAATAACATACCCTGAGATTTGCTCTTAGAATCCCAGTATTGAAGGATCGAAGGCGATATGTGGAGCCGTTGAAGAGTATTCGCCGTCTCAGGTTCCAGAGGTGGCGCTTAGGGGGGACCCAGTGCGCGAGACGCAAATTGGGTCTGGCATAAGGAGGGCATCGAAGTCCGCGACGAAATCATTATGCGCATGTGCGGGGAGGCCCAAAGGATCAGAGTCTGCAAGAAGCGAGTGAATTGGTGCAGCGGACGAGGAGATATGGTCGATTGAAGGTCCACAAGGGAGGCATCAGTGGGCGTCGAACGCAGGTGTGGCGCGCGCATTTGTCGGCGCCCAAACGACAAGTCATTTGAAAACCGCTGTACCAGTTCGGAGACTTGATGGACGCGCCATTGAACGCGTCGGACTCGTTCGCGGCCAGCCACTACGTCTCTAACGTCCTTTGTCACCTTGGCTTCTGTACTCACTATTCTTGGACACCACTCGTACCCACTTGCTGTGCTAGAGGACGTGTGGAGTAGCGATGTAAACGAACACAACGGCCAGAGGGCCCGGGGAATACTAGCTCGCCGCTGCGGTACATCCGTGAAGCGTGGCGTCTCAGGCAGAATATGAGCCGGAGCGAGGTGCCGGACAGTGAGGAGGATGAGTAGATCTATAGGTGTGTCTCACTACGACTGACGCGCCTGTATGATTCCTTGGGCAGGCGTCTCAAGCCGAAACGATCCACCCTTGGGACTGTGAGCAAAGATGAGCTACCTATGCCTGGGGGCATTCCCTTCGCCGACGCATTCTCCCGGGGCGAAGTTGATGGAGAAGGTTCACCCTGACCTTGACCAATCTCCGTCGATCGGTCTCTGCTACGAAGTGGATTCCGACATTGAGATACGGGCTCATATCTCAAGAATATCAACATCCATAGCGCGAAACGGCCTTTGAAGATGTACGTTATGCATTGGTTCGATACCAATCACTCCGACAACACGAAGCCTTTCTGCGTATGTTGTCTATATTGCGAGATCTACATTCATGGTGTTCCGAGTTGACAAGACTTTCCAGTCTACGCTCTTGAACTCCGTAGACCCTCGCCAGCGTGCTATGTGGACTTTACCAGCAAGCTCGGGATCTGATTCTCATCGCAAGTGCTCTCGTAATAGCCTAGAGAGACAGTCTCGAAGTGCCGAACGCAGCCTACTCTTTCCGCCGAAAGACAAACTCTGACAAGCCACATCTGGTCGATAGCACTGCGAAACATTTATAGAGGAAAGGACGACCGCTGTGATCGCCTTCTCCACATCGACTCAGCCCATGATAGCCTACGGCTTCGACGTCAGCCTCCACTTTATGTGCTTGCCGGGTGGATATGGCACCCACGGATGTCTTCATGATCGCATTCTGGCCAAACCATACAAGTTTTCACACCAGAGCCGGCATCCGAGCATTGGACGATGTTCAGTTCATATAGCCAGGCAGAAGGATAGAGAGGTCCACTTGAAACGTCTGAATATGACAATACAAGGAGGGACGGAAGATGCGGAAACTGCGTTTCCTGATAATGGTATCCTGCACATCTCCGGAAGCAGACCCACAGGTCGAGTCCGTGGTGAAGGACTGTGTGACTACAACCGCCTAGATCGGTATGACACTCCGTGTTCCCCCGATATAACTCGACGGCCAAGTGAAGGCACAGGCAAATCGTCCGGGTGGGTACTGTTGTGACACTCAGTCGTGCTCGTGTAGACTGACGACATTTTCCCGAACAGACCTGAGCCACTAGACGTCAGGTAGAGATCTCTGATACAAAACAAACATGAGAGTCAGCTTACCGGATGCTCCGACGGCGAGAGAAAACGACAGCCGTTGCCGTTCTCATGGGCCGGTGGAACCGACGAGAACAGGGGGAGCCACCCCCCGTCCATCGGCCCACCTAACACACACGATCAGGCTCCGACGTCTCGGGGGACTCTCGAAGGCAGATAGCAGCGGCCACAAGAGGTGACTTTCGCGGGCAACTTTACATCCTGCAAACGGCCGTCAGACATGCCACCTCCACTGTACTTGGAAGAGCCGACGTCAGGTACTTACTGAGCTGAACTTCTTGATCACCACTGAGCACTATACTCTGCCTTGCTCAAATCGTAGTGACAGGAAAGGTGGTGGCATTTTGGCTCAGCTGGTGGGCTGGCAAGTTGTTCAAGGTGACTGTCGTCGATGTCGTCGAACGACGCTACGGAATGAATGAAGACGAGGATCAGGGCCACGAGGCTGAGGAGACGACAAGAAAACGAGACACACCTGACTAGCATATAGTGCCGTGAGGACAAGCTGGAGGAAGACGACCGCATATAATGCTGCGTCTACTCGATGTATGTGGGGAGTTGAAACGTGAAGGGGTTTGACCGGCGGAATAGCATGAGATGCAGGAAAGGTGGTGGTAGGAGGGAGGAGGCATCGCCGTGCGATGCAGGCCTATATACTGCTAGGAGGCGGGCTGACAGGATGCTCCGGCGGCTGGCATCTAGATCCTTTCACGGAGGTTGGCTTGTCCGCCGTGTGACGGTGGTTCTGAACGAGGGCCATGATGCTGAATCAGGCAGGTGGTGTGGTTTGCATGTCAAGATCGCACCCCGATGTCCAAGGAGCCGAGATGCAGCCTGTAAGGGCCGGCGCCTGACATACCCGATTAGGACGAACATCGCGCTTTGTCGCGATCGCAACAAAGCCCTTTGGGCTCAGTGGCTCCCGCCACCATAGATCTCTTTCTCTCTTTCTCTCGTTTGTATTTCTCTGTTCCTTTCTCTGATGTAGATCTCAAGTAGTATAAGAAGGCCTGTACTTAGAGGGGAGTTGCCCCAGCGTTCGAGATATACGACTCTACCCACTCACCCTCTCGTGTGTCTCTTACTCTCTCGTGTTCTCGGACGACTTCAACCTCGGCTACTCTCGGCAAGCTATCGCTTACCTCTCACGCCCTCTTGAAGCGCCCGAAGTCTCACATTTTTTGAGTGTTTTCTTTTCTCATATCTCTATTTCTCACCGCGTCGGCTTGATCACCCGATCGCTTTAGAATCATACCGGTTCATTGACATGTCGACATACAACAACTTTTACCAGGGTACGCGGACCTTTTGGAAGGCGGCCGCTACCCCGGGGTCGGGAACACAGGCTCCCGAGCCTCGTGAGTTTGAAGCAATCGGTGAGTTGCCCAACTCTAACTTTCTCCCACCTGCCGAGCAGAGCAAGGTGACCCCTGTCTACCCGAGTCCCCCACTTTTCGCGGCTACAGACATTGAGCTTAGCGTGAAGTGGGGAATTCAGGATTACGATACGATCGTGGACAGGGACGTCGGGAGGAGGGTGACACGGAAAGTTGCGCAGGCGATTCGCGAAGGGGCTATGATCCCCAACGTTGAGAGCCTGTTGTACCGTGGTCACCGAAGGATGCGCGGGGGTACGCCCACGGCGTCCCACCCAGGCACGACACCAGATGTCACAGTGCCGTCAGCCAGGTCTGAGATCGCCGTTGAGGCTGATACTCGACCTGAGGACGACTCTGAAGAGGACGAGACGACGGAAGTCAGTACTCTCCTCTATTCAGAGGATGTCCAGCTCGCAGCAGAAGGCGACGGCATCGGAGGACATGATGCCGTAGAGGGGGACTTGGGAGCGGACGAAAGCGCTTCGGTCTCCTCTGACCAATGGAAGGTGGTACGGGCGCGACGCAGCCCAGAGCCACAAACCACGGACATTCTGCCCGTGGTAACTCGCTACTTTCCGTCCTGGTTCGATCTTTGCGACTTCGAGGACCAGCTCGGTCCTATCCCGACTGATTGGTCAAGTACCACGGCCGGGAGCCCTATTCTCCCTGAGGTTCAAGTTAGCAGTGGGGGGACCTCGCTGCTGGACGAGTTCTGGCAGGAGGTGGACTCTAGCGACGAGGACGGCGCATTGCAGCGCGCGATAGCCGACTCCATTCGTACGGCCGAAGCAGAAGTCACTAGGCGTACAGGCATAGAATCTAGGCCTTTGGAAGTCATGGCGACCTTAGTGGAAGTGATCTCTGAAGAGGAGAAGGAGCCCGAGGCTCCAACTGGCCAGAGCGGCCGGTACACTTCTAAACAAAAAGGGAAGCATGTACCACGTACCTCGCAGCAGCGTGAATTCCTTAAGCAATTTGTTAGCAGGCACACTAGGAGGAGTGCTACTCCGGCGCCGGAGCGATCAGATAAGAAGAGTTCAGAATCGAAACCTGTCAAGACAGGTCCTGCCCGGTTCAAAAGGGAGTCTTCCCAAGTGCCTGATGGAGGATGGTTCCGGGATAGCACCAGGGGCGGAGGGCGTGGACCTCCGAGTTCCCCATCAGATTCCAGCTCGGACGACTCGGAAAGCTCTAGCTCGAGTTCAGATAGTACTAGTTCATCAGGATACAATAGCGATAGCTCGTCCGCCTCGGACAAATCGCAGAAAGGCAAATCGTCGGCGGAGAAAAGGCACCGCAAGAAGCAGAAGCATCGGACTAAGCGTCTAAAAAGGGCTCTTGCAGGCGTGAAAATCAAGCACCCATTTACCTGGCCTGGAACTCCGGATCTGGATCTCTTTGATCAATGGATTTATGAGGTAGATACATATTGTGAAATACACGGTCTCGAT